CCGTTTCTCTGTACTTGGTTTTCTCTAACTTTATTTACATCTACTTGTGTGTGTTTCTTGCTCTGAGCTCAATGGAGTCTTGCAAGTTTGGATCAAAAGGAGGTTGGCATGATTTCTTAACTATTAGGTAATAGGGACAGAAACTAGAAGGGAGGTAGTGGCAGGTGAGTTCAAGGCCAGCCTGGTCTACATAGCAAGTTCTGGACCAGCTGGGGGTGTAGGGAGACCCTGTTTCAAAAAAACCAAAAAAATAAACTAGAAAAGCAGTCACCTGGGGTTGCACCAACAAACGTCACAAAAGTTTCCTGATAAACTAGATTTAGCAAAATTCAAACATTAATGCCCTTTGGGTTCTGGTTTCTTTTTCATTATCACTAAAACCCCCTGGTAAAGATAACTGGGTAATCTTGCTCCTGAACCAGGCCTAGATTTCATTACTTCTGCAGTAAGGTCACTGTTGACTTGGAAAGCTATAGAAGCTAGGGAATAAACCACTTCATAGAGTTTCTTGGGAGCTAAGAAACTGGAATAATCACATTTGGTCCCTTTTACAGAACATTTATAGAAAGGGTTGCTCCCAAGGATGTTATAGGATCAGGAGGCTGAAGACCAGATGGAACAAGAAAACTCTGGTAAAAGAATTATCTAGCGCCCCATGTAGTAGCACATATATATATAAGCCCAACACTAGGGAGGCTGAAGCAAGAGGATGGCCTCAAGGTCGAGGCCAGTTTAGGCAACATAGCAAGACCCTGTCTCCAGTTCTCCCCGAACCCCCAAAAGGAGTTAGAAGCTATAAACTCCACACTGATGAGGCAAGAGGATTACTATGAATTCAAAGCTAGTCTAGGAGAGGTACATGACTAGTTGCATCAGGCCAGCTAGGACTATACAGCCAAGCCCTATCTCAGAAAAAAATCTTCAGAGCTTGTGGTGGTGCACACCTGTTATTCTATCACTTGGGAGGTTGAGACAGTAGAATGAGATGTTAAAGGTTATCCTCAAGAGTTTCAAGCCAGCCTAGGCTATGAGACCCTGCCTCAACAAAACAAAGAGAATCATTAGTTTTAAATTTACAGGGTACTAGGGTCTTATAAGGTACAAGGTTCTTTCCTTGGGGTCTGCTTATGAAAAGAAAGGTTAACTACCTTTTTTTGGTCAAAATTTTTATTGGGGGGAGGGTTCTTTTTTGAGATAGGGTCTTCCTGTAGCCCCAGCTGGCCTGGAACTCACTATGTGACCAGGCTGGCCTCGAACTCACAGAGATCCACCAGCCTCTGCCTCCCAAGTACTGTTAAAGGCGTGTGCCACCACGCCTGGCCTTGATTTATTTTAATTTATGTGTGCAAGTGGGTTTGCCTGCATGTTTGTGAGCATACCTGTGCATGTAATGCCCACAGAGGCCAGAAGAGGATCCCCTAGAATTGTAGTTACAGATGGTTTTACAACTCTTTTAGACAGTCTTTCTTGTTCATTGGTAATTAAGATTTTTTTCCTTAACTTTTTGTTTGTTTTGCTTTTTGCTTAATGTTAAGAATAGAGTATTATTGCGTAGCCCAGGCTGGTCTTGAAATTCCAGTCTCCTGACTCAGCCTCCTGAACTCTAGAATTTATAAGGTGTATGCACTTACCACCCCCAACTGATTTTTCCTGTTATAGCTTAAATTTGGAAATCAGTGGTGTTAGAACGCTGCTGCCTGTACATTCAAAGGAAAGATATAAAGGTATCTTTTTTTTTTTCGGTCTTTTTGAGACAGGGTCTCTCTGTAGCCCCAGCTGTCCTGGAACTCACTATGTAGACCAGGCTGTTCTTGAACTCACAGAGATCCGCCTGCTCTGCCTCCCAAGTGCTGGGATTAAAGGCATGCGCCACCACGCCCGGCATAAAGGTATCTTTTAAAAATATTTATTATAGCTGGGCGTCGTGGTGCATGCCTTTAATCCCAGCATTCGGGAGGCAGAGGCAGGTGAATCGTTGTGAGTTCAAGGCCAGCCTGGTCTACATAGCCCCAGCTGGCCTGGAACTCACTATGTAGACTAGGCTGGCCTTGAACTCACAGAGATCCACCTGCCTCAAGTGCACCGATGTTGTGCAATGCCCATGAAGGTCAGAAGAAGGTGTACATGTTAGCCTCCATGTGGGTGCTAGGCATAGAACCTGGTAAGAGTAGTCTGTGCTCTTAACCTTTGAGACGTCTCTCCAATTCCCAAGTCAAGGCCAGCCTGGTTTACATAGTGAGTTCCAGGCTACCTGGGGTTGCAGGAGACCCTGTCCCCAAAAGACCAAAAAAAGGATCTAAAGCCAGACGTGGTAGTACACATTTTTTTTTTCTTTTCTTTTTTTTTTTTTCGATCTTTTTGAGACAGGGTCCACACCCAGCCTGGTAGTACACATTTTTCATTCCAGCACTCAGCAGAGGCAGGAGGATCTCTAGAGTGAGGCCAACCTGATCTATATAACAAATTCCAGGCCAGCAAGGGCTATATAATGAAACCCTGCCTCAAAAGAAAAAAAAAAAAAGACTGTCCAAAGGATTGGGTTTTATTTTTGGTTTTTGTCTGTTTTTTTGAGATAAACAAGGTCTCTCTGGAACTTGTTATGTAGACTAGGCTGGCCCCAATCTCACAGAGATCCATCTGCCTCTGCCTCCCAAGTGCTGGGATTAAAGGCATAGACCACCACACTCAATGGGTTTGGCGAGATGTTAGCAGACTAGAAGGTCTGGGCCTTGATGCTGTGATGATTAAGCCATACCATCGTCTCTCCTCCCTTTGCATAGATAACCCTAGTCCTCAAAATATTAGTATTTGGAGCTACTGCATTTTTCTTACCCTTTATTTCTGTTATTCCCTTCTGGCCCTTTCCCCTCAACATCTTATCTGAATAACCACTTTAGGCCTCTGTGGCTCCTTGAGAAACTGCAGACAGGTCAGAAAGCAAACTGCTTGCGCTGTGAGTGAAATCAAACTGGTTCTATAGAAGGCCCTGGGCCTGCACTTGAGTTGGCTTTACCTGGTAACTATTGGTCTTAGAGACATTCTTAGCGAATCCTTAAAACCCCTTAGAGCATAATTTGAAAGTTCCCAGACTGATAGAACAATACGGGCTTTGGAACCAAGTAGATAGAGGTTCATTGGCTATGTAAATTCATAGTCTTGTGAATATCATGTAATTGCTCTGAACCTCTATATCCTTTTTTTTTTTTTTTTTTTTTTTTTTTTTTTTTTTTTTTTTTTTTTTTTTACACGGGTTTCCTTTTTTTTTGCTGTCCTGGAACTCACTATGTAGACCAAGCTGGCCTTCAACTCACAGAGATCCGCCTACCTCTGCCTCCCAAATGCTGGGACTACAGGCATGCACCACCTCACCCAGCTTATATCCTTATTTATAAGATAAAAACAGTTCTAATCTTGGAGAGGTGTTATAAGGATTAGAAAATAATTGCTAGACCTGGCAAAATACCTTTGTGGGTAAAGGTGCCCACCACCAACCCTGACATCCCTAGTACCCATATGATGAAAGGAGATAACTCCCATAAGTTGTCCTCAGACTTCCACATGTCCACTGTGTCATGGGTATACCCACACACATACACTAAATTTCTATAAAATATTCCCTACTGTACCGAATAATTTGATAGTTATTCATATCATAAAAGAATGACTGTGCCATTTCTCTAGCCCCTTGTGTTTTATTTTTTGGTGGTTGTTAACTGCTTTTGGTTTTTGGGGGTGGGGGGTTGGGATTTTTTTTGAGTTTCATGTACTCCAGCAGGCTGGCCTTGAACTCCCAATGTAGCTGAGGATAGTCTGATAGTCTTGAACTCCTTATCTCCCTACTTCTGTCTTCTAAGTGCTAAGATTACAGGCATGCACCACCATGCCCAGTTTGTTCCACTTCTTGAATAATTGTTCAGTATTTTGCTTCTTGCTTCAGTGAATCCATTCATCAAACTTTTTTTTTTTTTGAGACAGGGTCTCCTGATAGCCCCCAGCTGATCTGGAATTCATTATATAGACCAGGCTGGCCTTGAGCTCAAGAGTTCCACCTGCCTGTGCCTGCTGAGTGCAGGGATTAAAAGGGTACACCACCACGCCCAGCTACTTATTTTTTCTTAGGTTCATAGCAGGTAGAGACATATCTTATTTGAAACTTCTTATTTGGGCCGGACGTGGTGGTGTAAATAAATAAATAAATGGGAAAAGTGATGATTGAAAATGGATATAATAATTGATGGATTGATTTTTATTTCCATTGGGTAATAAACATGTGCTATTTAAAAAGAAACAAGAACAAGGAAGCCAGTTGTGGTGACACACACCTTTAATCCCAGCACTCTGGAGGCAGAGGCAGGTGGATCTCTGTGAGATTGAGGCCATCCTAATTTACAGAGTCCAGGCCCGCTGGGGCTACAGGGAGACCTTGTCTCAAAAAGAAGCAACAAGGTTGCCTATACCTTCTAAAGACTTGGGCCTTGGATAAAAAGTAATGGGAATACTTCATTTTCTGGAGCCAAACGTAGTATGTCTGTTGTGACTGCTTTGTGCTGCGCCGCAAGCAGTTACAGCCACAATGTGTGTGAGAAAGGGGTCATGCTACTGTATATGCCAGGGAAGGCTAGCTTCATCCCCTAAGCTACATCCTTTAGGGCAGGCACTGAGGATAGTGAGTACAGAGAAGAGAAACAGGAGCTCACACATACTGAGATCACTCATCTAGAGACATTGAGGCTTGCAAGACCTGTCATTTTCTAGGATCCTTTCTAGTTTCTGTCTTCTCTATATCTTTCTTTACTGCTAAAAATACTTTCTTCCTTTTGCCTGCATTAACCACAAGTAACCAGTCTGGGGGCTGGGGCTGGGGAGGTAGTGAATAGCCATTTCTGTAACATCAGCCCTAGAGCAATCACATGGGCAGGGTATGCCTAACCAGAGAATGGAGATGTTCAGCTTGCATTCTTAACTGGAAATAAAGTGCTCTCCTTATTCTCCTCCTGCAGGTCGGTGAGCTGGTAAAGGTTACGAAGATTAATGTGAGTGGTCAGTGGGAAGGGGAGTGTAATGGCAAACGAGGTCACTTCCCATTCACACATGTCCGTCTGCTGGATCAACAGAATCCCGATGAGGACTTCAGCTGAGTATAGCTCAACAGTTTTGCTGACAGATGGGAACAATCTTTTTTCCCCCCAGTTCCATCTATACAATTTTCTTACAGGTGTCAAAAGCAGTCTAGTTTATGTAAGCGTTCTGTTGCCTGTGATCTTTTAAAGACTGAATTACTCCATTCCTACTCTTATTTACCATATTCAGGGTACGAAACTGGAGGGCTTGTGTGGTAAACTTCTGAATTGGCAAAGCTAGGTGGTAGTGGCCATGCCTGTATGAGAAGGGGTAAGTGTCTCTATTCTCTTGGGCAATGCATATCAACCTGTGGAAAACTGATGAACAGGAAAAGAATGTTACACACTGCTTACCCTGATTTATCCATTGGTTCTGTTTTCATTCTGAAACCATGCTACCAAGTGGCAGTAGACTGTTCCTTTCCACCCCAATGAAGTAATTATGCACTGTGTGAATACTCAGTGGGATTTCGTTTTCATTTATGGAACATGACCATTGTATGACTCATTCTGACATTTCAAATCCTGAGGATTCTGAGAACACTACTAGAGGCATTTGTCTTCCTTCCCAGTCAATGCTTCATATTTTTTCTTGGATTCTTTCCTTGTCATTCTCTCCCCCTAGACCTAGAGGTGAGTTGATTCTTAGGATGGTGTATATTTTCATTCCAGATGAGAAGCAGGATGTTCAGAGCACTTTATTCAGTGCATAGCTTTAAGCCAGTATTGGATTCACTCAGTGGACAAACTCCCAGCTCTCTGCCTTCCCCCAAGAGGGCATAGTAGGTTCACACTGCTACTACAGCTAAAGAGACTCCTGACTGATGGGATGGATCCAGCAGGGCCATTTCTCCTGATTGCTAGTATCCTAAATGAGAGACTTGGAATTCTCAGATTCTACTTGGGGTGGAAGGACCAATCACTTACTGTATTCTATAGGTCTCAAGGGCCAAATTCCGCCCTCTGCATCATGTACAACTTGTATAAAAGGCAGGTTAGAAATTATGTAAGTTTGGGGTAGGGTTAGTTCTTTGGAAAATGTGTGAGCCAATCATAAGTTACTTATGTATTACTCATTTTACATGGCCAAAATAGTGCTTGAAGTACATTACATTATAAACTGCCTTCATTTGGGTTTTTCTTTGATACAGATTTAGTTTACACACCCTTTTAAGTATAGAATGGTTTATACGGGGTCAGGTGCTCCAAAGAATAGACCTTTGAGACCAAAAACTCTCTAGGCTTTCTTTAGACTATAACATGAAACTTCCAGTTAGTTCCCAGTTGCTAAAGGCACTTACTGGTCTCTGGTGTGGGTGTGACCAGTAGAAACACTTTATACTTTGCTTTGGACCTCATTTTAGAAAAATTATGATCTTTCTAATTGTCCTGCATAGATTGATACGATGAATTTTCATTCTTTAGACATATACCAAATCATGGTATTGCAGTGACTAGCACATTGCTTAGCACACAATCAATGTGCAGATGTTTTGTGTGCGGGAATGAGAAGAGCACAAAAGCTTGTCTATGTGGTCTAGGGAAGCCACCTGGCACAGGGTTATATACAACACCACAACTAATATGTTGACTCTAATTTCATATATCTTTACCTCACTCTAAGGTAATGCTTGATAAAAACATTAATACTCAACTCTGAAAATGTTAGCACAGTGCTAAGCACACAGCGGGTGCTCAATAATGTTGAATGAACAGACTTGCAATACTCGACATAATTCCATCTGACTGCTTTGTTAAATTTTCAGTTAGTATGGATAATGTAAAATCCAGATGCACATTAAATCTTGTTTTGCTGGACTTAATGGCATCTAAATATTTGTAGATGATCCTTGTCACAACTGATTTGAATGTTTGTATTTTCTTTTCCCTTTGATACTGGCTTATAATGTCTCCTCATCATGTGTACTATTAGTGTAATATACAACTCTACCCGAATCTTAAGAATTCCTCAGTGATTAATTGTCCAGAGCCATTACATGAACTGTTGGGTTGGATTTGGCTGGGTGTAGCAGTTTTTGGACCTCAAGAAATCAAAGGACTTCTTACAGATATCTTCCAAAAAACACAAATACTAGAATCCTAGTCAAATGCATATGTACATTGTCACAGAGCAAGGTAAACTGAAATTGGCTGCTATATTTTATATAATCATTTCTGCAAATGCCCATTTTGGATACTAATATTTGACATGGTTAATTCTTATTAATTTGTTGGAATTGTTTATTATTAATGCAAACAGATCATTTTAATTTTCCACAAGTAACATTTCACTATTAATGGTTTGAAATGGATGATAGCAAACCAATTTGAAATAAAATATGAACATGTGCCATTGTATTATAACACTATACACTTTCTTGACAGTTAAATTTTTAAAAAATGTTTTTTTGTAGCATGTATTGTATATGTTTATAGTATATGTAGTAAATAAAAATATGGCCAAATATTTGGCTTGGTGATCTTTTGGAAAAAGTAATCTTGGAATATTTGTCACAAAAGAGCAAAACCTTTCTGCTTGTAGAGAATAGAAGGTGTGTGCCCTTGATGTCCCACCAGTCATGTGCATCTCTCTCTATATGGTCTGGGTGCTTCAAGGTGAGATTAATCATTGATGATATTTTAGGTGATCTCCAGAAACTATAACACACTGATGTGAAGGGAGCATGGAGATATTTGTATATGTAAGATCCAGAAGCCAGGATGTTGTGGACAGAGAATAACAGACTTGTATGGGAATGAGTATTTGTGAGGGTAAGAAAATGACAATGTGATAGGTAGATTTTACACAGTGAGTCTGTAGGATATTGTGTGGATATCCTGTTAATTTCTCCTTCTTTTTTTTTTTTTTTCGTCTTTTTGAGACAGGGTCTCCCTGTAACCCCAGCTGGCCTAGAACTTACTATGAAGACCAGGCTGGCCTTGGACTCACAGAGATCTGCCTGCCTCTGCCTCCTGAGTGCTGGGATTAAAGGCATGTACCACCACGTCCGGCTAATTTCACCTTTTTTTATGTAAGTAAAAAATGATCAGGGTAGGTTATAAAAGTAATAACAAAAATAGATTGAAGATTACTGTATATTCTTGCCATCCTTTCTCAAAGCATGTCAGTGTTGTGTGTGTCTGGGTGGGGTTGGAGAGATGACTCAGCAATTAAGAGCACTGACTGCTCTTGCAGAGGTCCCAGGTTTGGTTCCCAGCACCCACTTGTCAGCTAACAACCATCCATAACTCCAGTTCCAGGGGATCCGACACCCCCTTCTGATCTGTGTAGGCATTGCACTACATAGATGCACTTACATACATGCAGGCAATACACTCGTACACATAAAGTTAATAAAAAAATTTTTTAAAGTTTGTAGTGGGCGTGGTGGTGCCTACCATTAATCCCAACACTTGGGAGTCAGAGGCAGGTGGATCTTTTTGAATTCAAAGCCAGCCTGGTCTACATAGTGAATGGCAGGCCAGCTGGGGCTACAGGGAGACCCTGTGTCAAAAAGACTGTGTGTGTCTGTGTGTGTAAAACTTGACATTATTCACTCTAGTTTTGTGAACTATGGTTGAAGTTGCAAAAGGACAAGCCAGGTACTTGGGTGTGTGACCGCAGTTGGGAGATGTGGAATTACTTGAACTCAGGAGTTAAAGGCCAGCCTTGTTTTAATATTGGATAAATTTTGCTTGTTACACCGGGCATGATGGTGCATGCCATTAATCCCAGCACTGGGGTTGCAGAAGCAGGCATATCTCTGTGAGTTCAAGGCTAGCCTGGTCTACATAGTGAGCTCCACACCAGTTGGGGCTACAGGGATATCCTGTCTCAAAAAAGACCAAAAACAAAATTTTTGCTTGTTACTTACATTCTGCCTTTCAATCAAAACACCTCACAATTACTATCATGAGACTTAGTATGGTAAGCATAGAGAAAAATAAAGGAAATTCTTCTGAAGGACTCCATATACATGTTAATATCAAGATGATTTAAGTGTTTTTCAACTTTCTGACAATAAAAAACATGCCCAACTTTTGTTTTACTATCCTGTATGTAATCTTAGAGTGTTCATACAGCTCATATTGTGACCCTGACTTTCAGATGAAATTTTTTTCCACATAAATGTGAAAAGAGGGTGCCTCCTAGAGAAAATGTGGAATGAGTTCCAAATTTAGGGAAGGGAGCAAGAGGAGCTCTGTCTCTACTTATCCTTTGAGGAAAACAAAGTGAGGTCAGGTGTGGTGTCACATGCCTTTAATCCTTGGTAGGCTGAGACAGGTGGATCTCTGAGTTTGAGACTAGCCTGGTCTACAAAGTGAGTTCCAGGCCAGTCAGGGCTACATAGCAAGATCCTGTCTCAAGAAAACAAAAATAGCCTAGCATCCACATGGTCACTAACAACCTATAATTCCAGTTCCAGTAGCTCCTATGCCCTCTTCTGCCTCTGCGGGCATTGCATGTATGGGTGGACTTATCTTAATGCAGGCAAAACACTATTAAAAAATTTGGGGCCTGAAGAGATGTCTTAGTGGTTAAGAGCACTGGCTGCCCTTCCAGAGGACCTGGGTTTGGTTCTCAGCATCCACATGACAGCTAACAATATTCTTAACTCCAGTTCAGGGGATGCAGCACCCTCTTCTGTCCTCTGTGGGCATTGCATGACATGGTTGCACTTACACACTTGGGCAAAACAATCATACACATAAAGTAAGAAATAAGTTTATTTTTTGGTCTTTTTTGAGACAGGGTCTTCCTGTAGTCCCAGCTGGCCTGGAACTCCCTATGTAGACCAGGCTGGCCTTGAACTCACTGAGATTGGACTGTCTCTGCCTCCAGAGTGCTGGGATTAAAGGCGTGAGCCACCATGCCCAGCAATAAAAATGAATTTTTAAAATTTGTTTAAAAAAGTGAGGCTAGGTGTGGTTGCGCTCACCTTTAGTCCCACCCAATACTTGGGAGACAGAGGCAGGTGGATCTCTGTGAGTTCGAGGCCAGCCTGGTCTACATAGTTCCAGGCCAGCTGGGATTACAGGGAGACCCTGTCTCAAAAAGACCAAAAAATTGGGGGCTGGAGAGATGGCTTAGCGGTTAAGAACACTGGTTGTTCTTGCAGAAGACCTGGGTTCAGATCCGAGCACCCACATGGCAGCTAACAACTGTAATTCCAGTCCCAAGGGATCCAACAACCTCTTCTGACCTCTGAGGGCATTGCACGACATGAGTGTACTTACCTACATGCAGGCAATACACTCATACCCATAAAATAAAAGTAATAAATTCTAAAAAAAAAAAATTAATTTTTTTAAATGAACCAGGCAGCCCTTAATCCTGCACTTGACCAATCTTTTTGTGAGCTCCTGCCAGATTTTCTCTTCAGCTTGCCATGTGGCCAAGTCCTTTCCTATGCTTTCCTCTCCCCAGCTCTTACTCTTGCTTCCAACTTCAATGCAACTTCTTTAGAAATGCTTCCTCCAAACCCCTGAGAACTATTTGTAATCATTAGACCATTTGCCTTCATGATGCTCCTTTCAGGTTATACTTATGTCAGCAGGGCAAGAATAGCATCTGAATTTATTCATTTTCAGAGCCTCACACAGCGTGGCTCATGGAAGACAAGCACTGTTGCTGAGGGATGGGAATGTACCTCAGTGGTAGAGTGGATGCCTGGCCTGCATGAGACCCTGGATTCAACTTCCAGCACTACAAAAACAGAAGTGTTGAATGTTACCTCAGTAGGGTAGGGTGCTAGGGAATGTGGACTCAGCAGGTCACCTCAGCTGCTTCCCTAGCATCCCTGGTCTGTGTAAGTTGAAAGGCTAGGTTCAGTCAGATCAATGTAGGAGGCAGTCCTTTGCAGAAATACAGAATGTTCTCCACAGCTTGATCTCAGAAGTTTGGGTATTTTCTAGCCCTGTGTCTATATCCCTTTTTCTTTTCCCCAGAAGAGAAGGTGACCCTGACACTAGGAACTATACTAACAGTGATGATTCACTGGTTTGTATCTTATTTGAGTTTTTAGTTTGGGCACTTTGTCAAAAAGGCTAAATCATTATTTTTTATGTGTATGTGTATGAGTGTATTGACTGTGTGTATGTAAGTAAACCTGTATTGTGCATTGTCCTCGAAGGTCAGAAGAGGGCATTGGATCCTTTGGTAGTTGTTAGCCTCCATGTGGGTGCTCGGAATCAAACCGGGTCCTCTGTAAGAGCAATCAACCACTGAGCCATCCCTACAGCTCTCTGAATCTCATTTTTTTGTTGTTGTTCTTTTTGAGACAGGGTCTTCCTGTAGCCCTAGCTGACCTGGAACCTGCTATGTAGACCAGGCTAGCCTGGAACTCAGAACCAGAGATCTGCCTGCCTCTGCCTCCCAAGTGCTGGGATTAAAGGCGTATGCCACCATGCCAGGCAAATCTTATCTTTTTAATTATTATTTTTTATCTTTTTGAGACAGGGTTACCCTGTAGCCCCAGCTGACCTGGAACTTGCTATATAGACCAAGCTGGTCTTGAAGTCACAGATCTGCCTGCCTCTGCCTCCTGAGTACTGGGATTAAAGGTGTGTGCCACCACGCCCAGCTTATTTTTTTTTTATTTTATTATTTTTATTTTTTGGTCTTTTTGAGACAGGGTCTTACTGTAGCCGCAGCTGTCCTGAATTCACTATGTAGACCAGGCTGGCCTTGAACTCATATAGAGATCTGCCTGCCTCTGCCTCCCAAGTGCTGGTATTAAAGGCGTGCGCCACCATGCCTGGCTATTTTTTGTTTTTAAAATATTTTTATTTTGGGCTGGGCGTGATGGCCCGTACCTTTAATCCCAGCACTTAGGAGGCAGAGGCAGGTGGATCTCTGTGAGTTCGAGGCCAGCCTAGTTTCTATAGCAAATCCAGGCCAGCCGGGACTACAGGGAGACCCTGTCTCAAAAAGACCAAAAAAAAAATTTTTAAGTTTTATGTATGTAAGTGTATCATATCATGCAGTAAGCGTGGAGGTCAAGAGGGTGTTGTATTCCTCTGGAACTGGAGTTACAGATGGTTGTTAGCCACCAGGTGGGTTCTGGGAATAGAACCCTGATCCTCTGCAAAAGCAGCCAGTGCTCTTAACTACTGAGCCATGTCTCCAGCCCTTTATTTTTGTATGTGTGTCTGTATATGTATGATATGTATGCTGCATGTGTAGGGGTCTGAGGAGGCCAGAGGAAGGCTTCAGGTCCTCTAGAGTTGGAGTTACAGTCTGTTGGGAGCCGCCCAGCATGGGTGCTGGGAATCAAACTCAAGTCCTCTGAAAGAGCAGCAATCACAACTGCTAATCTATCCTTCCAGCACTCTTAAATTTATTTTGCCTAGAATTTACTCTATAGCCCAGGCTGACCTCAGACTGGACACAATCTTTCCTCTGTCTCTCAAGTACTAAGATATACAGGTATAAGCCACCACACCGTTTCTCTCTCTCTCTCTCTC